TAACGCTCAGATATAAAATGTGTAATATCGTGACTCTGAACGTTAGGGGGAAGGGGATTCGCAGAACGTATGCTTCAAATGGTTTAAAGCGTGCCGCGTATTTCGATATGCACAATTTTTTCGGTTCAAATTTTGTAAAAATAATTCTACTTGAAATATATTCACAATAAATATTGAAAATAAGAACTTTTTCAAAAATTCGGGACAATCCGGGACAAAAAACCTGAATCCGAGACAAATATTGCTTCTAGAAAAATCCGGGACGCAAGGTGGAAATCTGGGACTGTCCCGGCCAATACGGGACGTATGGTCACCTTAGTAGTATGCACACGACTAATTTATTTAAAAACACGACAAATATACTTCCTTTATATTTATCTCATTTACCGCAGAAAGAAAATCTAGTAGGAATTTATGCGAAGAATATAAGGGTATCTTTTACAAAGAGAATGATATATTAACTTTCATCAATGCAGTTAGACACAAAATACCCATAAATTCAGGCATTCCAGTTTACGTTAAGCCTTATAGATTCCCACAAGTGCAACGCAAAGAGATAGATAGGTCGAAGAATTAAAAGGACAAAATATCATCACTGAGAGTGAATGCCCACATAATTCACCTATATTTTTACTACCTAAAAAACCAGATAAGAACGGAAAGGTCAACTGGCGTATAGTAATAAACTTTATGAAGCTAAAGCATTTTAGATCGAGATCCAACAGGATGATAGAACAAAGACAGCTTTTTCAACAGAAGCCATAAACAATTTAAAGGTAAACCAACAAAATATCATAAGTCATTTTAACAAACAACTTGCGATGAACAAGGACACGGCCCTAGCCAGAGGGGGGGATTCCGGGGGAAGCTCCCCCTATATTTTCTTCAGTTGGCTTTTCCAACTTGTGTTATTAATTAGGAAATATGTTAAAAATAGACATTATTCACAATTTCGTGTAAAAAGGAATGTAGGTAAAACCAGTGGGTAAAACTGCTTGAGAAGATCATTCGTGTATACGGAGATATCATATCTAAAATACAATGTGGTGAAGGTACTAAGGTTTTTAAGGCAAATTGTAGTATTAATTATTCTCATTATTGTAAGTTAGTTATTGTTCCACCGTTAACTCGTTAACACCTCGATTCGAGATTAATAAACGAACATAGTGCATTATTGTTTTTCTTTCGACGGGACAGCAACTCATGTTTTTGGGCCAGTCGAATTTCGACATTAAAAATAAAAAGGTATTTTTAAAAAGTAAAAGAAAACATTAACTACGGGTTGTAATAAAATTTCAAGAGGGTATAGGCACCATAAAAGCAATATCGGTCCTTAGTTCGATATTCACTGAACTCTCGCAGATAGCAGAAATTACCATTACAGCATCTTCAAGAAATCGCACACTGGTCAATATTTCTAGCCAAATCAGGATAATTCGTAAATCTGGTAACCAAAAATTCCACATTTTTGTTCTAATAAAAAGCAAGGGCCTTATAAAAACAGTACATAACGGTTTACACCTATATGTATTTAAATACATAATATTAAACAAATACAGAAAAGGAAGACTTAAACATTGTAAACGTTATCATCATCATAAGGTCGTCAGTCCTAAGACTTGTTGGACACGTACCTCCACTCTTTCCTATCCTGAGCTAATCTTCGTATTTCCCTAAAACTAGAACAACCCACATCCTTAACTATTTGCGAACAGTAAGCTAACCTAGGTCTACCTCTACCACTCCTAACTCCTGTTTCTGCCGCTAATATGTCTCTGATTAGACTCTCATGCCTGAGAAGGTGTCCTACCAATCTGTCTCGCCTATTTCTTATTGACTTACATAGAGTCCTCTGTTCTCCTATTCTTTCTAATACCTCTTCATTTCTAACCTTTTCTACCCACGTTATACTCATCATTCGCTATATCCACTANATCCTACCAACCTGTCTCGCCTATTTCTTATTGACTTACATAGAGTCCTCTGTTCTCCTATTCTTTCTAATACCTCTTCATTTCTAACCTTTTCTACCCACGTTATACTCATCATTCGCTATATCCACTATTAATAGAACCAGATCAGAAACCCTTATTTATATAAGGCAAGGGGAAGATGTAATTCTAAACCTAATAGAAAGACATCACCGAAAGCGAAGACTTCCAGTAAAAATTGATAACTGCGTATTCGATGCAGCGAGCTTTGATATAAATATTTTTTATAAAAAATAATTTTCAAGCGTTTAAGGTAGGTAAAGTTACAAACTTTTTACAAGATAAACTTAAAATGGTTGTAAAACGTTTGAAGCCAATAACAAACATTCTCACAAACCCTTTAGACAAAAACAAAATATTACAAGTGAAAATACTTATCCACCTTATTTAATATAATGCTCTTCTAATATGTAAGGCATCATGAAGGTAACTGCCAGATATAAAATAGCTATTGGAGAAGCTTTTCGTCTGTCAGCTAATATTTACAGCGAGCTTTTCGGTGGCTTCGAATAAAAACAAAATCAGTTTACTTAACATAATTAAAAATTCGACCAGAGCGATCATTAAAAGGGGAAGACTTGATACCCTAATCCTGATAAATGCAAAAAAGATCTTTGCGATGCTATTGTATTGTATATATAGACGAAACTTAAACACAGGTGAACACGAGTAAGCTAAAATTAACCTATTGTGTTAAGAATGTTTTTCGGGTTCGATTTTCGGCGAACTTTGATTTGATAACTATTTTTTATTTTTAAATGCATATTTTTGCGCGTGTGTTTAAAACGTTAGTTGGAAAATTAAAGTACAACAGTTGGTTAATCGGTTGAACCACCCCCCTCCCCCCAAACAGAACACTTCGCTAGAGCCCTAAACAAGAAGTTAATAACCAACTACGAAAACATTTCTAGTAATTTCGATATAATACAGCGTTCCATAAATGCGACTGTAGAACATTCAGATCTTTTTAATACAATAAATATGCTAAAATTAACTATAGTTGAAAGAAAAAACTTAATTATCGAAATTCAAACAGGAACCAGTTTCGCCCTAATGAATGATTTACGTCTCAGTATAGTCAGTAAAGACCAAATTGTATTAATAAAACAAAAGCTAGCTAAATGTCAAGGTGAGAACAAATTTATTTTTGCTACACATCCCAATAAAAAAAAAACGTTTAACTTGTATCACTTATATTCAGTATTTACCGTGTCCAAACAACCAGCATACCTCCTACATTGTTGCTTTTTATGAAAACAATATTTATCGTTTAAAACGTAAATGTAATTTAATTCAGAAACAATACTTTTGTTCAAATGAAGATACAGAAAAGAATTATCAACAGGATATATGTGTTAAAAATTTGTTAAAGATGATTCCTAGTGTAAACATTTTGCAGTCGAGATCAATGACATTTTAGTAGAGACAATTAGTGACGAAAGGTACCTTGTATTTCTTCCAAAAGAAATAGCGAGTCATATTAAATGTGAAACAGAACAAATACACAGATTAAAAAGAGTATTTTTGATAACACTCCCTTATTCTTATTCATTGATAGCTAAAGATTTTGTATATACTAATTTATAAGAAACAATACCGGAACGGCCAGCATTTTTACCACCATTACCTTAAAACCCTGTAAGTGTTAAACCTATACGATTAAATCTTAAATCAGATCCTCTTGATAAATTGGCGAAATTAGGTCTTCAAACTACTGATCCAATTGTTTATTTGCCAGAGGAAAGTTTTTGGACAAATCCAAAGTGCTTCCTATAACTTTTATCTTGAAAAAAACTAGACAACTTTGGGAAAACAGAAATCAGGCAGTATCAAACAAGTAGTTACTCAACGAACACGAACACGAACCCTTGACATACCTTGCAAGTATTCCAAAAACCTCTAAATACTACCAATCTAGCTTACGCAATCTAATTGTAAATTTATCCAAATATTCATTTATCGTTATTCATTTATCCTACGTAGTTTAAGTGTTGTATAAATAGTGTTAATAAACTGAATATACTTCGTTAAAACAGATAATCACTAATTCAAATCTACTTACACCAACTACTTAAACCATCGTAAAAAATATTGTCACATCATTCGTGTTTACTCAAATGAATAAAAAATGTCTATAATAAATACCCTAAAATAATTACCAATTATTAATTTTGATTATTTGTGTCTTCCAAACAAAATGACAAAATGTTACAAGTAACATTGAAACACTTTAGGCTTTTAGTACAGCAAAAAAAAGCTAAAATTAAAATTTAACAGCACACAAATATACTTCTGATACTGACCCCTAATTAATTTATTCTAATGTGCACATGAATATAAAGTCAATGAATTACCTCAAATGTGCATTAGGAATTTTTCTTTTTTAATAAATAAATCCTTTTACCGTGACGGACAAAATGTTTCGAAATAAAATTAGTTAGTAATCATTAGTTAAAATAATTACTACTTCACCAAACCTTTTCATTTTACTTTTTCGCTTACCGTGTTTATTTCTACTTCCAGTGGATAAAGGGATATCACTCCTGGGATGAAATGCGAACTGCTACAATCGCAGATCAACTACACATGGCATTCAAAGTTTAATATATTCCTGTTAAACAATCATAACATTTTCGAAATATACAATTTAGTCACGATACCATATAATGTAGTAACAGAACATTAAAAAGTAATGCTTAAACGGGTTCGTTCATGGTGATCTGAGTATACAATAGTTGACAGGTTGTAATATGTCGTTTTTAATCGATTTATTAATATTTAATACAAGTCATATTCGTCAACTCACAAGTTAGCCTCTTCAAGTAATTCCGGTAATTCTGCAATAATCCTAAACAAAGTTATATTTACACCGTAACTCAACAGGTCACTTTCACTAGTGAATCAATGAACACTTTCAACATACATAATGACCGATAATGACCATAGATAATGACTAAATGCTAATTTCAGCAAAGTAGCAATTGCTTTGGTTATTTACCCTTTGTAGATCTATTATCTATGGTTATTTACAAACAGTTTTCTCAAAGAAAAAGTTTGATCCTGCAGATGCTGCATATAAATCACTTAAAATGTTGCTATCATTAAATAGCGATCATAAAGAACATTTAAGTTTATTGACTAAACAACCTGTTGAAGGTAAAACATGCACAACTTATAGTGTTTCTTGAATAAAATATTTTTGTTCCAGTTCTTGTTGATTTTTGTAAACTCGCAATTAATCTTATTCAAAGTGGCCCAGAAATAAAATTATATAAAGCCGCTGCTCAGAAACTGGAAGTGGAATTAACTGTGATACAGAATTGTGTATATGGATTAGTTAATCTTCTATTACAATTTTGTAAATACAATGTTAGTTTATCAAAAAGTGCCCATTGAGTACTTCTGTATGGTTTTCCTTTCTAGTTAAATGAAAGTGATTTTCGGGATTCCGTATTAACGATTGGATTTTCATCGGAGCAGCAAGTAATTTTGAATAAATTTTATCAGTCAAAGAAGAAGGAGATTATTGAAATATTGGAGAAACTTGAAGTGAATGATGTGCATTATAACAATTTAGAATGGCGTTTTGAGGTTGAAGTATGTTTTAAATTTTTCTTAAATGCTTCCATACTATTCAATTTTTCATTTCCAGGTTTCTTCTCGGTCTTTATTACATAGAGCAGATCCTATTGTGGCAATGAATTTAAATTTAAAAAGACCTCACAATACAGATGGATTTCCCACTGTTGATAGCATATTCCTTCAAACAGATCCTACAAACTTGGTCCATATTGCTAAAGAATTGGAAAATTGTTTACAACAATCCAGAAGCAGGCATTTTCGAAGAATACAAAAAGGACTTTGTAATAATAATAATTAATATAAAAACCATAATAAAATTTCTAATATTTTAAAAACAAATTCGTTGTTACTGACAATAACATTATATACACTTAATTTAGTTGTATTCACAAGTAAAATGTAAGTTTAAATTAAAAATAAAAGTCACAGTATGAACACCATTGATGCACTTTTATTGAAAGTCAAGTGGTTTTGACAACTGTCATGATCAAAGCTAACATATAAATAAACAGATTTTTAAGCATAATTACTTCAACAATATCAAGAGACCATTTAATATCTCTTATCACATCAATTAAAGAAAATAATAATTGTATACCTCTTTTTTACATGTACAACAAACACAATTAACTTAAAGTGTTTACATTACAAACAAATTATCATTATCATATATTGTCGGGTAATTTAACATAATTCATTTATTTTATACCTATTACTACGATATTTTGTTTATTCACAATTACATATTTGACATGATAACAAACTTACCATTTTTATTTCATGCTTACAACTACAATAGTAATGTTGGAAGTGAAACTACATTCATAAGAAGGACATTGGTAAACGAAAAAAAAAATAGAATTCTACCAGAATGGAATGCATCTTTTTTATATTACTACATTCTCACATACACACTTTTAAAATTGATCACTCAACAGATTGCATACTTCTACAGAGACGCTTTCTTTACTAGAACGAACAGTGAGCCTGTACATCTGGGCGTTCCTATTTGGTTCCAGGCGAAGTAAGCAGCCAACTTGTTGAGTACGCATATGAATAATACCGGCACACACAAAATTATCGGGATTGGGATCAATCCCATCTAAAAGCTGCATGCCAAAACCAATTAATTTTTGTCTAGCCGTTTGAACATCCATTGGGGTAGTTGCTTTAAAGATTTTTTGAGATTTTTGTTGATTAACATTTGCTAAATTCTTCCATCTAGCAAAGAATGATTCTCCGTTCATTTCTGTCGGCTCGAAAAATTTATTTAGCGTTAATGGGAGTTTTATTGTTATTTTTTGAGGAACGTTATTGTATACAAATGCTACAATTACACTTGGAGAATCTATATAATCATCGATGCATTCAGCATTTATCGTTTGTTGAATTTGTGCTCCAGCTTCTAAAACAGATTCAACTGGTTTCATTTGAACATTTAATTTTACCGAGTGTTCTTCTGACCAAACCAGTGAAGGTAAAAAGTTCTGTAGAGGGGAAGCTGTTTTGTTACCGTAAAACAAACCAAGGCGCCCAAGATTTTGTCGAAATTCGCTTTTGACACCAATCTGTATGAGGTCGTTTTCGAAAAGAACACCGTTATTTTTACAAACAAATTTCTTAGGATTATGTGCAGTAAGATCTTGCAGAGAATTTATGGTATTTGGCTTATTGTTGTATACGTCACCCAATACATCCAAGAGAACTCCGGTATTTCCCGAAGGTTGTGAAGTAGGAGGTGTCGAAAGTCCAAGTAAATCTTGAGCTGTGTTGACTGTGTTAACTCCATTATTATGGTTTGAGGCAGGTGTAGGGCTTTTTCCTTCTTTAATTTCACTTTCAGGTACTCTACCTGGTTTCTTTTTCTTCAAAACAGCTAATATGGAACTTTCCCGTTCAGGAAATGCTGGCATTTCTTCGAGAACCGTTGCAAGCACATCAGTACTAGCAATAATACTTAACTGTAAATATTCTGATGCTCTTTGTTGAAGCTCTGCATCAGCCGATCTGAGATTGCTGTCTTGTTTAAAAACTTCTTGTATCTGTGTACGAATTTCCGGAAAAAGATTAATAAATTTTATATACGTAGAGAGGAGTAGAGCACGAGTCATTGGTGAGCAAAGATGATACTTCGAATGAAGGAGTTGAAACTGAACTTGAGGAGAAGATCTCTGATCGCCAGCTATGAGATTCCCAAACTCTCCAAGTATATATCCTCCCACTTTTACCATATTTTCATGACAAGCAGGGGCTTGTAATGCTTCAAATACAGTTTTTGCAGCATAACCTTGTACTTCATCTCTGTTGATGACTATCTGAATTACTCGATACCACACTTCTTCAGACACATAGTCTCCAGCTATTCTTATTAAATTTAAAATTACATCAACATACCATGTGAAATCAGTGGCATATTTTTCTGCTAAAATTGCTACCTTCAGCACCATCTCCTCTCTTATAGAATAATCGGCAGTTTCAAGATAATTTAGCATCTCTTGTACAATTTCTTCTGCATTGGTTTTATCACACATAGCATATAATAAATCCACTGCCTGCTGTCGTACAGAAACATCCTTTTCCATTTTCATAGAAAGAATCACCACTTCCTGATGTTTTTTAACTGCTTCGTGTGAAAATTCTGAAGTTGCCAAATGGCACATAGATTCTAATGCCAAATATCTCAAGTTTGTTTCTCGATTACTAAGAAACTGGCCAAGTTGATTGCAAGCCCTAACTAATAAATTAGCTTCACTATCATTATGAATTATGAGATTAATAGCTTCAAATAAAACAGCATTTTTAGCATTTGAGTGTTGCACTTTTTTTGATTTTGGTGGTTCTTGTGCTTTATTCAAAATGGTTTCCAAACATTCATTTAATCTGCCTCGTACCCCAGGATCTTCTGTTGGAGGAGTATAATTTTGAAGCAAACGCAACAATTTAACTGAGAGCCAAGGAGCTGGCACAAAATAATAAGTGTAATCTTGTAAATCAGTGTAGCTTGATGTTACTATTCTACTCAATCTTGAAACTGCCAATGGTACACAACCCTTGTATTCTTCAGGGTTTTTCTTGACAAGAGCATCAATGAGACTTGTGGCAGCTGTGACTACTCCTAAATGTTGGTCATTTAGTAAGTGTATAATGCGTGATGTCCACTCTCCACCAGGAATAATTTCTGGAGATGTACGAAACAAACGAAGAAGACATAATGCTGCACTTTGCTTTACCACGTCCATTGTATCACCAGATACTAACAGTTTCGGTATTTCATTTCTGAATGCTTCAGCCATTTCCTGACTACCAATATTAGCAATACACTGTAAAGCAAGATTAACATGTATGGGATTTCTTGAAGCAAGATCATTCTTAATACTCTGTATTATTAGTTTTATAAGTTCACTGTTAGTATTAACTAGTACAGATATAAAAAGATAACCGATCTGTTTTTCAGAGTATTTGTTTGATGATAATAGGTTTACGGCTTCCATGTGTCCAAAGTCAATATCATGTCCAAGTAAGAAAATGAATAATAATTTACACACATACTTCTTCTTTTGGTAACCGTCAAGTGTTTTATCGCCTTTGAACTTACTTCGAATATTTGCCAATTCCTTATTAATCCGTTTTACTTCAGCTTCTTTACTTTTACAGTTTCTAATATCGGATATGAAAACAGCCAAACCTCGCATTCCATCACCTCGAACAGCTGGCATTTTTGCGAGCTGCGGTTATTTCACAGTATCCTAATTTGAAAATATTCTTAAAATGGTTAGCTTTTATAAGGAAAGGCAATATTTAAAAAAAAATAGAGAAATTTGTTAGATAACAAAGATACATACAAGTCTACGGTGGGCAGTGCCACCACATACCGCTAGACTTTTTAGGTTATACTTAACGTCAAAATTGATCAAAATCATGTCAAAATACACTAAGCAGCGTTGTCAGAGCAAATAGTCCCTTATAATATGCAATTAGATACTAAAAACAATGAAATTTTCAAAAATTGCTAGAATTTTCCTATTGCAGTAGGTTGAAATACTTCGCTATTTTAGAATAAATTTTTGTTACCTCGTATTTTATGAAAAACGAACATTGGCAATGCTGATGGGTTACGTTTAGTAATGCTGTGTTCAGCAAAAAAAAGTTGCATATTCGAAAAAGCCGCGATTCGGAAGTTTTACCTTTTTCTTTTAAATTTTAAACATTAATGTGAAATTAAGTCACTTTTTTCACACTACAGATTACCTCATGTTAGTGATGAGTTTAATAACTTCAAGTAAAAATAATTATTTTCCTTTGTAAGTTGAAGTACTGAGATCTAAATGATTGGTTAATAAATTGAATTAAATTGAAATATACCCCCTTTTTAAAATGATGTCTTATGATAACTATTACACTGTCAGTTCCATACAAAAACTGAAGATATTAAAACAAAAGGAAACTATTTTGATAAATATTCCTTTTTTATTTTCATAAAAATAACAAAACATTAGTAAAAAAGTCTCATATCTCAGTAACAAAATACCCATGCAATAAAAACTGGAAACCCCATTATAAAAAACCATCCCGCTATATTTCTCTTCCTATAAATACCTGTATTAAATTATTTCGTTTTATTTTCTGGAAATTTGTTAACTCCACCAAGTACTTTTCTCCTGAGAGTAAACATATGTAAGTATAGTTGAGGGAACACTAAAACATTAAGGGTGAAACTGAAGATATATAACAGATTTTTTAAAACATACATGGAATATACAGCAACATAACAAGCATGATAAAATAATCATACTGAAAACTAAAATTTATAAAGTTTGGTAAATCAACAGACCACAGTCTATTTCTAGAGACTTCTCTGAAGGCTCCATAAAGACACAGCAATTCACCAGTTACGCCAACAGGATATAAAATAATAAATGTGGTGTACCTAAAATTTCAATAATTTAAAATAGAACACCAGTCACACCAAACAAAGAACAAATTCTATATCGACCAATAATGGTTTGTTACCTTAACCACTTCATTAAATCCGGCACAAATCCAATAAGGTTTAAGGCATAAAAACCATATCTAATAATTTCAGTAATGCACCAAGCAAACAATGCCAATGGCAATCCAAAATAATCTCTTCCCTCGTTAGTAACCATCAAAACACCACATACTAACATTACTCGTGAAAAAACTTGTTGAAGTGTTACTATTGGGTTAGATGGCACAAGTTTTAAAAATGCATGAACAATTTCCAAAACAGCGGCATTTTGAAAAATAATAACTGTCCATTTTACTGTTTCATATAAACTATTGGCTGATTTTAAACTTACATAATAGGTGACAACTTGAAAAAGTAAGTATGACCAGCTATAAAAAGCAAGATTTATTTTGTGTTTAGCTTTTTTCTTCTATTACACTTACCCCAATGTCTGTACAACATTGTATACAATTAAATAAGCTTTAGAAAAGCCAGACGTTTCTCTTTTTTGTTTTATAGCGGAACCCGTCATTTTGCAAAACTGAAGTAAAGCTTATATGAATTAAACAATCGTTACTCTCTTTTATTAAGTAAGTACGAAATTATTTTCGAAAATAATAAACTTTGATTTCACTAATTAAAGTCTGTGGTACAAAGATCAAGGCTACAAACAGGTTTCATAATAAACCCATAGACAAGGTATCATGGGTGTCATCCTGGTGTCATTAAACAATGACTTGTATATGTTGTATGTATGAATATTTATAATTACAATTAATTAATAAATACCCATGCAAACTACAGTTTTACTTATTATTTTGCAATTCCAAATTATAAATTGTTAGAAACAGTATTTACTACTACCCTACTTTTTGTATTAGTTCAAGAACATTATTAATTTCAAAATATCGCGTGATAACTATTCGTTGATGACCGATAATATACGAACGGAAACGGAGTTTATTTTAAAATTATTTATTGGTAATAATTACAAATAATTCTATGATCATATTAATATCTATGACTTATTTCTCGGAGTTACTATGGAGCTATAAAGTAAATAGCCTAGACCCTAGACTAGGAAATAGAGGCAGAAACGTGTGATAGAGACACAGCGATCTACGTTACAGTTGCACTGGAGAGGGTGTATGACGAAAAGAGGAAAACAGACAGGTATTAGATACAAGGCCGTTTTCTCTCATTTTAGAGAGTACTCAATTTCATGAAGGTATTGTTCAGTTCATTTTCTATGTCAATGTTTGTGACTATAATCATCTCCGACATGGTTTGTTTACGTTCAGTTTGACTCAGAGAAAACTGTTTGTAAATAACCATAGATAATAGATCTACAAAGGGTAAATAACCAAAGCAATTGCTACTTTGCTGAAATTAGCATTTAGTCATTATCTATGGTCATTATCGGTCATTATGTATGTTGAAAGTGTTCATTGATTCACTAGTGAAAGTGACCTGTTGAGTTACGGTGTAAATATAACTTTGTTTAGGATTATTGCAGAATTACCGGAATTACTTGAAGAGGCTAACTTGTGAGTTGACGAATATGACTTGTATTAAATATTAATAAATCGATTAAAAACGACATATTACAACCTGTCAACTATTGTATACTCAGATCACCATGAACGAACCCGTTTAAGCATTACTTTTTAATGTTCTGTTACTACATTATATGGTATCGTGACTAAATTGTATATTTCGAAAATGTTAAATACAATTTGGTCTTTACTAACTATACTGAGACGTAAATCATTCATTAGGGCGAAACTGGTTCCTGTTTGAATTTCGATAATTAAGTTTTTTCTTTCAACTATAGTTAATTTTAGCATATTTATTGTATTAAAAAGATCTGAATGTTCTACAGTCGCATTTATGGAACGCTGTATTATATCGAAATTACTAGAAATGTTTTCGTAGTTGGTTATTAACTTCTTGTTTAGGGCTCTAGCGAAGTGTTCTGTTTGGGGGGAGGGGGGTGGTTCAACCGATTAACCAACTGTTGTACTTTAATTTTCCAACTAACGTTTTAAACACACGCGCAAAAATATGCATTTAAAAATAAAAAATAGTTATCAAATCAAAGTTCGCCGAAAATCGAACCCGAAAAACATTCTTAACACAATAGGTTAATTTTAGCTTACTCGTGTTCACCTGTGTTTAAGTTTCGTCTATATATACAATACAATAGCATCGCAAAGATCTTTTTTGCATTTATCAGGATTAGGGTATCAAGTCTTCCCCTTTTAATGATCGCTCTGGTCGAATTTTTAATTATGTTAAGTAAACTGATTTTGTTTTTATTCGAAGCCACCGAAAAGCTCGCTGTAAATATTAGCTGACAGACGAAAAGCTTCTCCAATAGCTATTTTATATCTGGCAGTTACCTTCATGATGCCTTACATATTAGAAGAGCATTATATTAAATAAGGTGGATAAGTATTTTCACTTGTAATATTTTGTTTTTGTCTAAAGGGTTTGTGAGAATGTTTGTTATTGGCTTCAAACGTTTTACAACCATTTTAAGTTTATCTTGTAAAAAGTTTGTAACTTTACCTACCTTAAACGCTTGAAAATTATTTTTTATAAAAAATATTTATATCAAAGCTCGCTGCATCGAATACGCAGTTATCAATTTTTACTGGAAGTCTTCGCTTTCGGTGATGTCTTTCTATTAGGTTTAGAATTACATCTTCCCCTTGCCTTATATAAATAAGGGTTTCTGATCTGGTTCTATTAATAGTGGATATAGCGAATGATGAGTATAACGTGGGTAGAAAAGGTTAGAAATGAAGAGGTATTAGAAAGAATAGGAGAACAGAGGACTCTATGTAAGTCAATAAGAAATAGGCGAGACAGATTGGTAGGACACCTTCTCAGGCATGAGAGTCTAATCAGAGACATATTAGCGGCAGAAACAGGAGTTAGGAGTGGTAGAGGTAGACCTAGGTTAGCTTACTGTTCGCAAATAGTTAAGGATGTGGGTTGTTCTAGTTTTAGGGAAATACGAAGATTAGCTCAGGATAGGAAAGAGTGGAGGTACGTGTCCAACAAGTCTTAGGACTGACGACCTTATGATGATGATAACGTTTACAATGTTTAAGTCTTCCTTTTCTGTATTTGTTTAATATTATGTATTTAAATACATATAGGTGTAAACCGTTATGTACTGTTTTTATAAGGCCCTTGCTTTTTATTAGAACAAAAATGTGGAATTTTTGGTTACCAGATTTACGAATTATCCTGATTTGGCTAGAAATATTGACCAGTGTGCGATTTCTTGAAGATGCTGTAATGGTAATTTCTGCTATCTGCGAGAGTTCAGTGAATATCGAACTAAGGACCGATATTGCTTTTATGGTGCCTATACCCTCTTGAAATTTTATTACAACCCGTAGTTAATGTTTTCTTTTACTTTTTAAAAATACCTTTTTATTTTTAATGTCGAAATTCGACTGGCCCAAAAACATGAGTTGCTGTCCCGTCGAAAGAAAAACAATAATGCACTATGTTCGTTTATTAATCTCGAATCGAGGTGTTAACGAGTTAACGGTGGAACAATAANAGAGAATGAAAGATTATCTGTGGAATATTACCTGCCCCAGCATTTGCCTAAGTGATCCAAGAAAACCACAGAAAATTTGGACCAAAGTAGAAAGACCCGGAATCGAACCGGCTTCCTTCCGAACGTTAAGCAGTGGTCTAAACCTCTAAACCTTTAGTCCATGCGGCTCGGTACCGAGCTAAGGACCGATGTTATTTTTATAGTCCCTGTTTTGTAATCTTTTTACAGCCCATATACACGAATGCTCTTCGAGTTTCTCAAGGAGCGTTTTTACACGGAATTATAAAAGAAGTCTATTTTTAACATATTTCCTAATTAACAACACAAGTTGGAAAAGCCAACTGAAGAAAATATAGGGGGAGCTTCCCCCGGAATCCCTCCCTCTGGCTAGGGCCGTGTCCTTGTTCATCGCAAGTTGTTTGTTAAAATGACTTATGATATTTTGTTGGTTTACCTTTAAATTGTTTATGGCTTCTGTTGAAAAAGCTGTCTTTGTTCTATCATCCTGTTGGATCTCGATCTAAAATGCTTTAGCTTCATAAAGTTTATTACTATACGCCAGTTGACCTTTCCGTTCTTATCTGGTTTTTTAGGTAGTAAAAATATAGGTGAATTATGTGGGCATTCACTCTCAGTGATGATATTTTGTCCTTTTAATTCTTCGACCTATCTATCTCTTTGCGTTGCACTTGTGGGAATCTATAAGGCTTAACGTAAACTGGAATGCCTGAATTTATGGGTATTTTGTGTCTAACTGCATTGATGAAAGTTAATATATCATTCTCTTTGTAAAAGATACCCTTATATTCTTCGCATAAATTCCTACTAGATTTTCTTTCTGCGGTAAATGAGATAAATATAAAGGAAGTATATTTGTCGTGTTTTTAAATAAATTAGTCGTGTGCATACTACTAAGGTGACCATACGTCCCGTATTGGCCGGGACAGTCCCAGATTTCCACCTTGCGTCCCGGATTTTTCTAGAAGCAATATTTGTCTCGGATTCAGGTTTTTTGTCCCGGATTGTCCCGAATTTTTGAAAAAGTTCTTATTTTCAATATTTATTGTGAATATATTTCAAGTAGAATTATTTTTACAAAATTTGAACCGAAAAAATTGTGCATATCGAAATACGCGGCACGCTTTAAACCATTTGAAGCATACGTTCTGCGAATCCCCTTCCCCCTAACGTTCAGAGTCACGATATTACACATTTTATATCTGAGCGTTAGGTAGTGATGGGCATAACGATTCTTATTCGATAACGTTGCAAATTGGAACTTTGAATAAAAATAACGTTTTTAAAAAACGTTATTAAAAACGTTATTTTGAAACAAATCAAAACGGCTTTTTCGATTATTTTCAAATTATAATTAAGTTGGGGTAATAAAAATTAAAATAAAACACATTTTATAAATATATGATAGATTCATTTAAACATAAATGATTATCGATAGTTGTTGTTTCTGAATTAAATTACATTTACGTTTTAAACGATAAATATTGTTTTCATAAAAAGCAACAATGTAGGAGGTATGCTGGTTGTTTGGACACGGTAAATACTGAATATAAGTGATACAAGTTAAACGTTTTTTTTTTATTGGGATGTGTAGCAAAAATAAATTTGTTCTCACCTTGACATTTAGCTAGCTTTTGTTTTATTAATACAATTTGGTCTTTACTGACTATACTGAGACGTAAATCATTCATTAGGGCGAAACTGGTTCCTGTTTGAATTTCGATAATTAAGTTTTTTCTTTCAACTATAGTTAATTTTAGNATTAAAGTCTGTGGTACAAAGATCAAGGCTACAAACAGGTTTCATAATAAACCCATAGACAAGGTATCATGGGTGTCATCCTGGTGTCATTAAACAATGACTTGTATATGTTGTATGTATGAATATTTATAATTACAATTAATTAATAAATACCCATGCAAACTACAGTTTTACTTATTATTTTGCAATTCCAAATTATAAATTGTTAGAAACAGTATTTACTACTACCCTACTTTTTGTATTAGTTCAAGAACATTATTAATTTCAAAATATCGCGTGATAACTATTCGTTGATGACCGATAATATACGAACGGAAACGGAGTTTATTTTAAAATTATTTATTGGTAATAATTACAAATAATTCTATGATCATATTAATATCTATGACTTATTTCTCGGAGTTACTATGGAGCTATAAAGTAAATAGCCTAGACCCTAGACTAGGAAATAGAGGCAGAAACGTGTGATAGAGACACAGCGATCTACGTTACAGTTGCACTGGAGAGGGTGTATGACGAAAAGAGGAAAACAGACAGGTATTAGATACAAGGCCGTTTTCTCTCATTTTAGAGAGTACTCAATTTCATGAAGGTATTGTTCAGTTCATTTTCTATGTCAATGTTTGTGACTATAATCATCTCCGACATGGTTTGTTTACGTTCAGTTTGACTGGTCCTGTATGCTCCCCAAATGCCCATAGTTGAAATTTATCTATAGTTGGAACAAAACTATCAGGTTTACGACAGTTCTATGACGAGTTGGGTGTCATGACTATGAATGATTGTTTTTATTAAAATGATGTAGTAAGATATTTAAATAAATAAACATCATGATTGTAGTGAAATATAATATTATTTAAGGTCTGTGCCTCTTGTGATTCTTCTGAAGAAGTGATTTGATCAACTAAACAAAATGTCTCTTTTCCGAAAACCAAAAAAACATATACAACGGCGAGTATTCACAGAAAATGACGAAGACGATGAAGATATTATGGATGTTGAAATTCCTGCCGAAAAAGATACTAAGAAAAAAGACAAAAATAAACTTTCAAGTAAGAAAAAACAACCCCTATTAAGTTTTGAAACAGAAGAAGAAGGAGAGGTTTTTCAAGTGAAGAAATCATCTCATAGCAGAAAAATAATGAAATTATTTGAGAAAGAGAAGCATAAGAAAAAAGATAAGACCGAAAAGGAAGAAGTTAAACAGAAAGAAGTAGTTACAGAAATTATTACAGACGATCTAATAATGAAAGTAAATCCAAGCCACAAAATTAATTCAATATTACCAGAACCACCGCCACCACCTATATTAAGTGGCAGAGATGCTCTTTGTGCAGGGAAAGATGATTTATCTTCTGAAGAAGAAGAAAGTAATTCTGCACATAAGTTTTCCAAACCTGATAATTTCAAAAAAGTGTTAGAATCTGGGGCAATTCCAGATGCTGCAATGATTCATGCAGCTCGAAAACGAAGACAGAGGGCAAGAGAACTGGGTGGTGACTATCTTCCAATAGAAGATGATGAAGTAAAAGAGGATACAGGAAGATTGATACGTGATGATGAACATGATGCCAGTGAAGATGAAGAAAGAATAGATATGGACATTAACCCGTTAAGAAGAGATCAAGATAGGCGAAGAGAACAATTTTTAGCTGCTCAGGAATCAGAAGAAGAAGCAGATCAAGAAATTGATGAATGGGAAAATCAACAAATAAGAAAAGGAGTTACAGGTATTGTTTTAGAAAACTGTTCATAAATGTGTTAAAAAGAGTTATTAAACTATAATAGATTATAATTCCTAGATAATATTTTTAGCCAGCAGTTATTACAAAATATAGATATGTACATACATATCCTGATTTATATAAATTAGAAGATACATTATCTCTCCCTTATGCACATTTTATGTGTTTTTAATTGAACCTACTATCCACATGTAAATAACCTAGTAAAACATGTGAACCTGAAGTAATATTATCAAATCATTAGGTATCTCAACTTACAAAATTGTTATTATGCATCTCAATTCCACTGTTGTCTAAAACTTTAGGGTATTATACTGACAATGAGTTAATAAAAAATAAATAAAAATTTTCTTTTAGGAGCTCCCATGGCTGTGATGTCACAAGAATATATATATGATAATAACTATACCACTACAGTACAATCTGCTGCTCCCCCAGTGTCATCTTTTGCATTTGATTCGAACATTCAAGTCACTCCAGAAGCTATAGTTGATAAACTTCGAACTCACTATCAAACTTTGAGTACTTCCAGAGATGCACATGCAGTAAAACTTCAAAAAGTTAGTAATAGGCTTGTTGAAGCAAACGAAGAACTTGAAGAGCAAAAGAAGCGCGCGCCAGTAGCTGCAGAACGGTTCCGATTTTATCAAGAATTGAGAGGCTATGTGACTGATCTTGTAGAATGTTTTGATGAAAAGGTTGCATTAATTGCAGATTTAGAACAGAGATCAATTGACTTAATGGCTCGAAAAGCAATTTGGTTGATAGAACGTCGGAGACAAGATGTACGAGATCAAGCAGAAGAAGCAACTCTTGCATATAAACCTAATTTGGTTCGTAAAAATGTCGAAGATGAGGAAAAAACGCGAAGAGCAGCTGAAAGAGAAGGTCGCCGTACACGAAGGAGAAGAGCTCGTGAACAAGGAGGGCAACAGAAACATGTAGAAGGAATGTCAAGTGATGATGAAATTTCGCAACAAGACATGCTTGGCTTTGATAAAGATAGAGAACAAATGGAACTTGAAATTCAAGCCGTATTAGAAGATGTAATTGACGATTTTTCGTCAATTGCAAATATTTTGATTAAGTTTGAACAATGGAAAGAAACGGATGTCACTGCATATAATGAAGCTTATGGTACTCTTTGTTTGCCGCGAATAGTAACCCCTCTTATTCGTTTAGACCTATTATTTTGGGATCCTTTGACTGAATCGATGGAATTAGAGAAATTAGATTGGTACCGTACTTTGGCACTGTATGGTTTACATGACAACGAGACAGAAAACGACCTTAACAAAGACCCTGACGTCAGTTTGTTACCTAAAGTAATTGATAAAGTGGTTGTACCGAAACTGACACAACTTGTAGATAGGTGTTGGGATCCTCTTTCTAGTTCGCAAACTTTAAGATTAGTAGGAACGATAAGTAGATATATACGACGGTTTCCAACGTTAGGACCCGCGAGTAAATCATTACAAAATTTGTTTAATGCTATTTTGCACAAATTGAAGGAAGCCTTGGAGCATGACGTTTTTATTCCGATTGTTCCGAAATTTGCCGAAACGAAGATGCCATTCTTTCAAAGACAGTTCGCAAGTGGTCTTAAATTACTTAGAAATATTACGAGCTGGCAGGGAATTTTAAATGACAATACTTTGAAGGACTTGGCATTAAATTCTCTTTTAAACCGCTATTTACTAAGCGCAATAAAAATTTGTCAACTTACTGATGCAGTAAATAAAATGGGATTAATAAGTCACATACTTCCTCGAATATGGTTGCAAAACAACACTATACATTTGGAAATGTTTAGCATGTGTGTTACTAACTTAGGACAACAGCTTGATAAAAACAATCCATTACATTTGGAATCGATAGAAACTCTTTCAAATATAATTAAATCTCTAAGAAATTGACAAATTAAAAAACTTTGATGTAAGATATGCATGTAAATATTAACTATAAATAGATTGTACGTTTGAACGTTTTATCGCTACCTGAACAATTGCACATTTAATTAGGTCCCATCAAATTATTCGTATCAATAAATAAATAAACATTCCTAATTTAGAGCTTTTTGCTGTTTCCATATAAGATTATTATATTTTAGTTCTCAGGATTAATCCTATGTGCAGACCTACTACAAAAACCTCTAGAAGATTTTATGTATTATAATGCATAAAATGTATCTTAATACACCTGGTTCAATAAATAAATAAATTTCGTGAGTAGCCGAACCAAAGATGGCCCCTAATATCCATAGACAAACCAAGGTCTTTGTTCCTTGTTGCACCCATGCGCATAATTTTCTGTGATGGAAACAAATAAAACAATCGGATTTAACCTATTTTTATTTTGTATAAGAACTATTTTATTCAACTTTAGGGAAGGTTTATGATAAGCATGAAAAAAAAAGTTAACATTACAAGACAAGTTTTCAAACATCAGCGAGTTATATTAGCAAGTGTATTTTCTTTTATTTTTGGCTCATTAGTAACTGTTAACTTTGCTCAAATAAATAAAACATGCAAATTAGATGATACCGATCGAGAATACAATATAATGAAAAACTCAAAATTGAAGAGTGATGAACTGGTTGTGTTAATTTTCTCAGCTCCTGATAATTTATCAAAACGTAATGCAATTCGGTCGACTTGGCTTCAATTTCAACAACTTGAAGTTTCGCTGTATACTTTCACTCATTATTTTGTGATAGGGAAGCCTTCCAGAAGTGCTAAAAAATACGATCATATCGTTGAAGAACAATCCTTTTACAAAGACATATTGTTGCTCCCGATGTATGATGGTTACAATAATCTTACTGAAAAGGTGTTAAGAAGTTTTGTTTGGCTGAAAGAACAAAGAGACTTTGGTTTTAATTTTAAATACGTTTTAAAATGTGATGATGATTCATTTGTAAGAGTTTATGATATATTACATGAAATATCGGGAATTGAAAACTTCTATTTGAATCCACATGTTAAATTTAGAGACCCAAATAATGATAGTTTTTCTCGGTTTTTAAGTGCCAATTTACAGATTAACAAAAATGTCAAAATTAAGAAAGATATGAATTTGTATTGGGGATATTTCACTGGGAATACTAAATTAAAGAAATCTGGGAAATGGAAGGAGGAAGAATGGATGCTTTGTGACTATTATTTACCTTATGCATTAGGTGGAGGATATGTGCTCTCAGCAGATCTTGTACTGTATATAGCAAATAATGCAGATACTCTCAGGTAACAAAAATTAAAACTTTATAAACCTCACAATAGCATTTGAGACAGGAAAAAAACTGTTATTAATGGAGGTGCTATATAATTCAGATTGATTGCATATTTATATTCCTAACATATGTACATCTGAAAATTTGTTTAAGGCAGTACAATTCAGAAGATGTAAGCGTTGGGACTTGGTTAGCACCTGTTACAAATACAGTACGTATTCATGATGTCAGATTTGATACAGAATGGATTTCACGAGGTTGTCAAAACTATTATTTGTTAATTCATCATGTGTCTGAAAAACAGATGCACGAGTTCTATTACAATATGTTAACTACAGGCCATTTATGTACAAATGAAAGTCTGATTAGGATACCATACCTATATGATTGGAAAAAGCCAAATAGTGAATGTTGTATGAAGACTGAAAAGAAAGGCAGCTTACTAGATAACATAAAATCCTTCTTTCCAGTACCTAACTAAACGAGTACTTTATTAGATACATACCTGCATATCTATAAGTTGTTATTTATTGACTAATTATTATAATATATAAAATGTGTATAATGCGTGATGTCCACTC